CTGTTACAGCATACACCTGACCCTTCACAGACAGCCGGATGTCGCGACGGCACCACAGATGTCTCAATTTGACAAATGCTAACCGAGCTTTCTGTATGCGCGCCAACACTTCATCTGTGATGATGCGTCCGCCAGGTGAGATATAGATGTCCAGATAGCAAAATTTGTCTACTTCCTTTACAACTTCCTCAGTGATAGTGAGATTGGAGGCTGGACCAACCCAATCTTGGAGCAACATTTTACACTTGGGAAGTGTAAAACGTATACCGAACATGGCTACACCAGCACTCAAACTATCCAAAGAAAGCTTGCAGTTTACCTATATCATTATTTTGCAGTACAATGTTGTCTGCATATTCCAGATCAACTGGATGCCGCTATCCTCGCACGAGGATAGGATGAGTTGCTGGGATGACGCTGGTCTGAAACCTAACGCAAACCAGGTGAGGAAGTTTCCAGGTCAGGGTTTTCATACCCAAATACCAGGTCTTACTTATTTTGATCCATGCAGCATGCCGATCTGTGTCCACCAACAAACTCGTGCAATGCGGTATTCAAACACGGATAGTAACCAAGTCATTGTGTCGTATAGCGTACTGAAAGAATGTGAGCAGAAATGAAGGAATAGGAAAATCAGATCGAGTTGACCGATCTGATCATGATTCTCACCTCCACCTTCATCGCAGATTTCATTTCATTTAAACTATCCACGATAAGTTGCACAGAACTTTTCTGGGACTGCAATCATCCGCTCTGTTTAGAAATTGAGATGTATTGGGTAGCATAGATTCGAGATCTCCTCGTGCCGATGATCCGACGGACCGACCTTAAACGGATCCTAGATTTGTAAAACCTTTCCAGAACTTTCTGGTTTGGACATTTTATGCCGAAAATTGAACCTGAGTCAACCTTGCTCTTTTTTTTAGTATGATATTGAAATTTTTTCGTTGATATTATCATTATTACTATTGTTATTACTGAATAATTATTAGCACTAGATGTCATAAATCAATTCGTATTTCGTCATACCAAAAGTCCAGAATGTCACATATCAGGAAGATATTACAGCAATGACCACTATCGGTTCTATTTCAGGATTCAGCACCCACGTGAAATGCACCACTTCGCGAAAAGCGACTACCAGTTGTGTTGAAAACAATCCCCGGTCGGTCAGTGAGTGAGTCCCACATATGACTCACCTTCGTACAAACGTGGTCAGGGCAGCCAGATAGAAGTGAACAGTAGCCAACGATTCAGCAGGTTGTGCCAACTGTAGTGTGATATTCGCAGGCACCCCGGGTGGACTGCGACCACCGCACAAATGCATCAGACAGGCATACAGAAGTCCAACGGGTCGTGAGATTGAACCGGCAGCCGGACCGGACACCGGTGCTTTAGAAGAGACAGATGTGGTCTCACCGACCGGATCCAGTTCATCCAACCCCGTGGTGTGATACACCTGCTCACCCATGGCCGGACTGAGAGCTATACAGCTGTGGGAGAAAAAAAAGACATCCACGGATAGGCGGAGAAGGTGCGATTTAAATGAACCAATCAGTGTCCAGCGTTTGGCGGGAAATCGGGTTGAATAAAACAGACAGAGATGCGATATTTGAAACAGATGATCGATTCGGCATAAATTTAATTTGAATGAGTTTCTTTCAAAAGAAGATAGACTGTTTGATCTACTTCTGATCAGATGAGATTCAATCGCGAGCACAATACTGTCCTTAGGTTTGGTTCAAAAGTTCATGAAATACAATGACAAGACGAAAAGGGGGGAGGGTGATGGGATAACCGAAGGAATTTAGCTGATGTTAGATAACAAGTCATGGGAAATAGGTAAACACGTTTAAATAGTTCTTGGGCCCAATCAAAAAAAGATTCAAATTTGAAAGCTAGTTAATCGAATGCAGAGATGAAGTAGGAGCAAGCAAACAAGTAAAATTTCTGGCCGTGTGTGTGTGTGTGTTCGTACCTACGAAAATCCTCGGGAAATTTAATCGGATGATGTCCGTTCTGAAATCCGTGCAATGTGAGCCAACGTTGAACAAAATCGGTCGCAATCGGATCATTTACTTGCCAATCAGGAATGTGGTCATCCACGGTCAGTTTGAGCTGTTGGTCAGATGATAGATCGGCACCGTTGCATAACGGTTTCGAACTGACAGCACAGTGCCGGAGCGGGGAAAAGAAACAGGGAATAGTTCGGCAGTATAAATCATACATCAGGAGATTAAGGTCACACCACTCAGACATGTGAGATGCTGAACAGAATGTATTCCTGAGTTCCGGAAAGGAAGGGGAAGTGTCACAGAATTCCATTATCAGGGGCAACGGTATGAATATAATCATTCTCGGTTTCATGAGAGTAAGGGAGGATTTGATTCAATTTCATTAGATAATTCGTCTCATGTTAAAAAAACGGTCAGGTTGTGAAAGTTCCCAACCGAGTCATAACCCCAGAGACTAGTGCTGAGATGAGCGAGGCGTGAGGCCCGCAACACGTTCGCAAACATGTATTGTGCTATATCGTGTAAATGGAAAATGATAAACGATTTGACCGGCTGCCCGGTGGACGAGTGGGTCGTGTTCCTGCGTTCTACCTGTGAGGTCCCGGGTTCGATCCCCAATCGGGTTGATGGATTCAGACTGCGAATGAGACCCAACTGGGCCAAAACAGCCGTCCAGTGCCTCCCAGATATTCAGTTCACGCTCCACTTACTGTATACACGACAAATTCCTTTATGAAATTCGAAGTTTCATGAGTGTCAGCTGAAAAACTAGGAAGCACTGGACAGCTGTTCCGACCTGAAAGGAAATCACAGGCAGTGCGAAGTCTTTGATCCAACTGGGGACCGAACCAGGAACCGCAATGATAGGACACAAACACACAACCTATTCAACCACCCGCGAGCTGATCGGACCGTCTCTCATTTTGAATACACACGATATAGCACAACTCGTGTTTGCGTGCTTGCTGCGCGCATCGCAACTTGGGCACCAGCTTCCGTGATTATGATTCGGCTGAAAATATTTTAACCCGATTACATGGTAAAAGAATATAAAGTACTGGCCGATTGTGATGCACTAAAATATTTTCCTTATTATCAAATGGAGTTTCATTCCATTTATCACCTGTAATAATGCTTTAGATATGGACCATAATTTATATCTTGTCTACTTCGATCTACGTAGTTTGTAGTCTACCAAAGTGTCAGTTAAACATGTCTGACCTTGAGTGCCAACATTAAATGATCTGAACATGAAAACCCCTAACTTTATCAAGTATGACAATGCAATATTTTCTAATAGGAATGACTCAAGAATCATCCCAAATTAATTCCATGAACCCTTGCCATCTCGATTGTTTGTTATGGGGCATTATTTTATCTAATATATAATCGATTATAGAAACTCTATTGGATAACCAAGTGGAATTCTTTCATAACCCGGAGAAATTGCATTAAATGAGGTCTCATAATAATAATCTATATTTGATATCTAGCTCACTGAATTCAAGAAATACCGCTTCAATCAAAGTCAACCTTGAAATCAAGGTTACTTTTGTGCACAGCTTTGAATGTTCGTATTGGTGTCACTATAATGAAGCAAGCAGCGCTCGAAACCAAAAGTTCCCCTAAGGGCCCGAATCTCAATCTGATTGAAAATCTGTTTTATGTGTTGAAGAGAGAGGTTAATGTGCTACCTATACATTGGACGTTGGATGCGAAAGTGTGGCACGTAATGGAGCACAGAATAGAGAATGACGTCATAACAAAGTTGATGGATTCCATGCCGAAGAGACTCAAAAGAGTCCTAAAGAACAAAGGCAGACCAATCGACTGTTAGTGTACATAAGCTTTACATCCTAATTATTATCAATGTTGGTATGTAGTAAATAAAATCTGTTCCATTCTCTTTAGTTACTTCTTAACTTATCATGGTCTAGGTCTACCACTAATAACGAAATGGGAGTAGCCGCTACATTTTGAATCATTCCATCTGCTGAGTATGAACGAATTATAAAACTCATGTCTATAAAGACTCGCCAAGGATTGTTTATCATTATTTTGAAAAAAATTGCTTCAGTAAAAATGCTGTTGCCAATGCGAACTGACAATTGTTTCACAGGGACTCGTTGCTTCAGTTTCGATTAGACCTGTATTTATTGAGCACTTTATTATTCGTTCGGGAGCTCGTATTCTGATTCATCAATTATACTTCGTATTTCGTACTGACTATCAGGAAGAAAGTGCTATCTCACATTCTGATATGACCTTCGGAAGAGGACGATGACTGGTTGTGAGCAGGTCACGATATGTTTTCTCATATCATGCATCAATAGCACGCTAAAATCGTGACCAGCTGTCCTGCAATCCAATGGGTAATGTTTGCGTTGTGTCGGAAGGAAGAGAAGGTGCTGAGCTCAAGCAGTAGCGGACCGATCGATGTGTAGTTCGAGTGATGATACCATAGACACTTGATGAATAATATTAGATATACTATTTTCGTGTTGGAATTGTGAAAAGTTCAGTAGCCTCTGTGGGATTCGCCTACACTTTGCTAACTGGTGGATTTTATATGCCTCTGTAAGTCGGATAAGTGATTCCAATGTGAAAAGATCAGGTCTGTCAGTGTGGCCTCGTAGCTCAGCTGAGCTGAGCTGAGCTCAGAGTGTGTGCTGTACAAAGCTTAGGCGACGTGCATGCGTGGGTTCGAATCCCACCGAGGCTACTGAACGTTTTCCACAATCTTGACCTAAACAATTGAGCAATGTTTCATAATGGTGAGTCTATACCCAGCCGAGAGTAAACAAATCTACTAGGAGAAGATGGATGAACGACCAATCGTATGTAGTACCAGTTGACAACATGATCCACAGTTCGATGCGTTCAAATCTCCTGTGATCTCATCTCACTCACTAGGCGACTAACTGACTGATTGCATTCAATTACTAGATCAGTTGTCATGGATTATTTAGTCAAATTGTTAGTGAGGGAATGAGCTCATTAGCTTTATTATTTGAATCACTGACTTGAGAAATAGATTTGAGCTGACATTTAAGGTGAAAATACTAAATGAACTAATCATTTCTTTTTTATACTTTCATCATCAAACTTACAAAACAAACATATACAGACTCTGAATTAAAAAAAAGAAAACTACAGGAAAGTAAAAGATCAACTTTCGTCAATCCGGTATACGAACTCTTTAGTAATTAATAGGTGCCACTTCGAAGCAATATCACAGAAAATTCATGCTTTTTACATTTACTTAAGACCGGTGAGCACATATCAGGAAATGCTTAACTCCCGTTTGAAGGTCATCTGGTGAATATAAGTGTAAACATGCGAATTCCTTAATGTTTTTGGGATTAATTATAGATTCATTCGGTCACATGATGCGCAACCCTTTCGGTCGCAGATTCCAATTTTCGGGAATTCTCAATCCTCATTTAGTGAAGAATTAATTCTCAGTAATTATGATCAATAGTTTGAACCAGAAATCCAAAACGTTCGAATACAAAAATAATTACCTTTTATGGCGAAAAATCGATTAATCGGTGATAATAAACTTACGGGAACTTTTGTTGAAATGAATGTGTGTGATGGACCAGATGCAGAGGAGATTCTGATTGAAGGATAAAAGAAGAACATTTTACTGTCAATATTCGTTAAAATTGCATAACGGACGTACTCGAAGCGTTGAATAAACTCGCGGATATTGCCACTCGCGTTCAGAAGCCATCTTTGAATCCCATGTGCTAAAAAATGCTCATGTGATCTTTGACTTCGTTTACTTCATTATTGATGAGCTGTATCAAAACCGCAAGGTGAGTCATAGGTTATGATCTGTATCTATCTACTCGTAGGTTGTGAATTCAAATCCCGTCATCGAATTCCAATGCCACTTTTGAATATTTTTAAGAAGAATCTCAATAACCGTAACCTCTTCATGAGGATCGAGGAAATCATTGAGTGCTTCATGAATGAATAAAAGTACAATCTAATATTTTCATAAAAATGATTCGGTAAAAACATCATCACAATGACAAAAGCGTTACCTACTTGATCAAGAAGACAAACCCGTTTAAGGAATGATGATTATCCGAGACACAATGTGAGCATTTAAGGGAAGAATGGTTCCTCTGAATTTGTCAGACTTTATGCACCCGGATCCAACCCAAAGCAGTGATTCCTAGTTTGATGAAATACTACTCACAAATGTAAGTAGTGCGTTTGTGTGTACTACAATACAGGCGATGAATTTTCCGCGCTATTTGACCAATGCTCCTTAGCATATCAGGAAACGATTAACCAGCTGTTACAGATTAAATGTTCCGATTTGTATAATCGTATTTAACCAATCCACGTTCTTCTGCCCATAAGTAACTTTCCTCTGATACATTCAGCACTAATGCTACTTTCGTTCCCGATTCTTTCACTTTTACTGCTACAAATGACAATCATGATTAAAGTAAAAAAAATATAGTTTGAATCATAGTTTGAATCTAGGAATTGTTGTGCATTAGAGCATAAAAACAAGAGCCACAAGCATTCCTGGCGCTTTTCAGTATAAAATGTACTTTTTAGGATAGCACCTTGGCATTAGGCGGGGCATGGTGGTGATGTAGTAGTCTAATCGCTGTTACCAACGTGCTTTGGACCTTATGGTCCGAGGTTCGAGTCCCGTCACCGCCACCCGAATTGGTTGTTAGGTAGCTTTGCTGCCGTTCAGTTCAGTACCACGCCTCACCTAGCGGGGACTTATGTGGCTTGCCAGTATAAGTTCCGGGGTTTGGGTTACCGATTTCCATCACTCAGTGGCAAATCTTTGTCACTTTGGGGTTCAATCGCTTTGATGTTTATCGCACAAGTTTGTGTAATAAAAACTTTAAAAAAAACTAGGTTATGTTTGATTTTTTGTTTGGGAATCTTTGTAAGATCTTGATCGATTATTCTAACGGTATATACATATATATATATATATATATGCATAGCCGAAGCACCACAGATTACTTGTAGGGACTAAGATGATCAGCTTTTGCCTCCCATAACCATAACACTGATTTGTGCTAAAGATCTACGAAACACATAAAATTGAAAAACAAACCTGGCTGACCATTCACTGATCCGGTTTCGCTCATTCCCGAGTCTGGACTCTGACTGAGCGCATGTCGTGGACTGGATGACGAAGACATAGTGTCACTGTAAGACATTTTCGAT